TTATTTCATCTATCTATATATAAATAATCTATATCTATATCTATATATATGTATGTATATACATATACGTATACATATATGTATATATATATATATATATATATATATGAATGTTACCTTTGATCCACCTGTAAATGTTCTCAACCTGTTTGTACCTCTTTCTCAGTTCCCGGGCGATAGTGCATCACCCCCGAAATCTTCGCGAGGAAAGCGTAATAAAGAATTAGCAGAGAAATCCAATAAGAAATCATTAGCAAAAACTCCCAGCCGCACCAGTCTCAGCAGTGACCACTCGGGCAGTTCAGGGGACAAACACTTTGGCAATAGGAAAATGTCCAAAACTCAGGTATTTTGAATCCGTAAACGTGCAAATAATCCTATTTGTAGATTGGAGAAATAACCCAAATTTCGAGTAATTGAAAATAGAAAATCTGCAGATCTCGAGTATTCAAGTTAGCAAAAGGTCCAAAACTTGAGTAGTTAGTATTAGCAAGCTTGACTTCTGAAATCCACCCATCCGATAAAAACAGATCAGCATCTATAAACAGTCTCCGGCCTTCAAGCCCCAACCCCAACATACATCTGTTTGTGTGAGTGGTATATAAATTTTAAATTAAATATAGATGCAGGTACTAACACTTGCTTGGTTTTATTTATCCTTTCCTATGTGTGAGTGATATATATATAAAGATAAATATAGATGCAGGCGCCGGACATTTACCTGGTTTTATTTGTCCTTTCCTTTACCTTCGCGCAGTGGTCACCCACCGTTGGCACCAACCTATACACTATGAGCCCCCAGTCAATGCTCAAACGATACTCAGCAAACAACTCAGGGAGCAACGCATCCATACACGCCCAGCAACCAACAGACGAGGTCAAGGAAATGCTGGAGAAGTTCAAACCCAAGGGTCCGGTATGTTTTAGGGGTTTAGGGTTTTCAAACCCCTGTTTTAGGGTTTAGGGTTTCAATACCCTAAAGCGAGCACCCCAACCCAACACGCTAGTGGCCTGTTATCCTATTCTTTAAGGAGTTGTTGCTATGGTCGGCACTTCGTACGTGGTCATAGGATATGTTCTTCACGTGTGTGTTCAAGGTTTTGGTAAGCAAACCATCTCCGATTTGACAGATTAATACCCCGATTTCATTTTTGCACACACATGTACGTATACGTGAATTCGCATACACACCTATAGATATATACATATACGCGTGTAGATACCCTCATCGTCCGGTCACTCTGTTTGTCACCAAAAGCCAAAAGTTCACAACCCGAGACACAGCCCAAGTACCTCTATTCCAAGCTTTCTTTTGGCCCGACTGTTCCTAATCCCGATTTTTTTTTGTGCTCGTTCATAGTCGTGGTCGGGTAGACCCATGGGAATTCCGACCGGATTTTCTGACGACGCTTTTGGAGGTGAGTTGTTTGTGCATGTGTGTATTGTAGCGTAAACTTAGATGATGATTGGGACGAATGTGATTCGTAATTATTTGTGCCTATACAGAATAGATATTGGGGTCGTTCTGCTCAGCTTTTAATCGCTGTAGCACCTGATATGAGAGTTATGAAGTGAACACACTCAATACTATATATGGCCGCGTACTTAGTTTGAGGTAGTAGACCAACCCACACGGAAACAAATTACTCGCTAACGTATGTTTTATCGTGGGAATGGATCAAAAATCTCAAAATCATTTGTATTTACTCAGAATTAGGAAGCGACCAAACAAGTTACTCGATATTACGTATATCTACCAATTCGAATCGATCAGAATTGAAATCCAATTTTTTACTTTTAATTGTCCAGAATTAGGAAACGACCAAAGCAATCGCTTCAACAGTGATAAGGCCATGGGCCTACCAGAATTCGACCAACGCGACATTGCTTGTAAGTGTTAGAGGTTATCGTGATTGATGCTTGTAAGTGATAGTCTGTAGAGGGGAGTGAATACCTATCTGTATATGTATATATATATGTATATATATATATATATATATATATATATGTATTTATATATATATACATGTATATATATGTATATATATATATATATATATATATATATATAATTATATATATATATATATATATATATATATATATATATATATATATATATAGTATA